GAACCCCTGGAATTATATGGGAAATTGTGTGTGTATGTTTGTAAATCCGTTGTGTCTTTTGAGAGACTCCATAGTGTACATGAGATCCTGAAATGTTTTCATGATCCTGCAAATATTAAAAACAAAACCAAAAAACACACTCATTTTGAGATTTTCTACATACTTGTAAAGCTTGTGTTTTTATTAGCTGGGAGATATTTTTATGCTCCCTTGATTTCCAGGTGTGAGCTGCAGCTTGGAAGAGCCCACAAGCTCCATCTTGGAGCCATGGGATAGTGGTTCTGGCCTGGGTGCTACTGCTTATGTATCCTGGAGGGTCCACTTAGCTTTTCTGAGCTTCGTTTTACGTTTCATCTATTAACTTAGGTTTATAATGCCCTCATGTCCTGCAGGAATGTTGCATGATAAAGAAATATGGGTGTGCAGGTGTTTATTTTAAACTGCCAAGGTGATACAATTGCAGGATGCAGGTATTACAATGACAGGTGTGCTGAGATCACAGTAGGCACTCAGTAAAGATGAGATTAAAATGAACGTGGAAAGGGCTTATTGGAGTGAAAGGTCTCAAGGTTCGGGTGTCTGCATGTCCAGCACATCCTGTGGAAGGACCTAGTGTTCAGACCTAGAACACAGCTGGGGTGACTGAGGACATGGTTTCAAACAATAGTAAAAGGAGAAATGACCTTTGAGATCCCAAATCCATTTGCTTTATTTTCCAGAAGAAATTGAGGCTGAGAGAGACAGGAGCAGTCCCACTTCTTTTTAGAAGGACTTGAGGTTCCTCCTCATCACTCTTAATGGAGGCTTTAAACAAACAAACAAAAAGCCCCAAACCAAAACAAAACTCATTGCCTTCATATCATCAGTTTGTTGTCTTACCTTCTTAAAAATGGTTCAGTATTCACACCGCAGTCTTAATTCTCTCATTGAAGCCATTTAGAGGCCTGCAATTCTTAGAAAATGCTGATCTTGTACTGGACACGGGCACATTGCACTATGGAAACTTTCTCTCTCCAAAGCATCTTTCCGCTTGGAATGTTCTCATAGACATCAGGTGAGAACACCATGTATAGATTATTGCTACCACCGTCAGCTCAGCTGAGACCCAGAGAGGTTACTGTGACTTGTCCAGGTCATAAAACAGTGTCCAAAAGCAGGATGGAGATCCAGGTGTTCTGATTTTCCATCCTTTCTAGCCCCTAGACTCTATTGCCAGAGAGCATCTCTGCTTGATTTTGGCACATTTACTGAATCAAACTAGGAGACTCTATCCAAGGGAAAGATAGATTTTAGCTTCAAATATATTTTGCTCAGGGCTAGAAACACTGTGTTTATATCCTCTCACACTCCAGGCCATATAGACCTGGAGAAAAGCTAAATCTCATAAGACCCCTCCCTGCCCCCAGTACTGACAAAACAGTAACTTGGAAATGTTTTTTGCTTAATGGTTTTGTGTGTGTGTGCGTGTGTGTGCGTGTGTTGACTATAATCTATCCTTCCATTTTAACAATGTGCAATAGAGAGGAGTTTGAAATTACTTTTAATCGTTGTTTCACAATGAGTAATAATTAAATATTACTTTTAAAGTAAGCTTCTCTTTTTCTGTAATTGCATTACTTTCTTGAGGGGAGATTTTGTTTTGTTCTTTAACCTGATTGTGTGCATTTGGAAAGTACCCTAGCACAGGGTATCCGAAAACAGAAAATTCTGGCACTTTTCCCACTTTCCATTCTTTCTCCTGTATGGATGCCAGATTCCTTTGGGAAATCATCATTTGCTAAAGGTCAGGAGCAAAAGGAGGGGCATTCTTTAGTGTACAGTTACTGCTAATTAGAAACTAAACATCTGTAACCATGTCAGAGTTATTTGTATTTGAAAAGAAACATTTATATACAAGAGCCCAGTTCGGTAACATAAAGCACACTCTAACACAAAGTGTGTGTGTTGGAGGGGTAGGGGACAGACAGATGAGGAAGCTTCCGACAAATGACTGGACTGAGTGAGGTCATTTGCTAATTAAGTCTCAAAGCATTTTCAGAGTATTTTCTTTTCTCTGTCAAGTGAAGTTTTCTCAGCCCCCCCCCCCACCATGAGCCAAAGCAAACATTTTACTGTATTTGCCAATTAAAGATTAAACATTTAATCATTTTAAAAGAAAAATACGTAGGAAATGGGTGATTTGGCAGAACCTAGTCAAAGACCACTGGGAAATCTCTAGCTACCTACTGTAACATTAGCCCTCAGTGTCTTCCCATAGTACAGGTAAGGTGAGCTCTTCTCCATCCATAAAATAAGTGCTGATTGACCTATTTCACAGACCTACACTTGTAGGGGGAAAAAATGACACAGTGCTTGACTTACCACTCCCCATGATGAAATTCTGTTTGGATCATTCCAAACAGAAATTGTATAGAAATTGTGTCTGTTCTTTTATTGTCATGTTAAGATAAATGTCAGTGATACCTCTGGGGTATTAGAAACGTTTCAGTCATAGGGCTTTGTCCCTCCACATGCTAAGCCTACATGGCCCAGATCTTACCAGTAATTCCTTTTGGAACGCTAAGTAATTTTGAAAACAAAGCAAGAGACCATCTCTTTCCTTCACAGTCTACTGTCTTCTAATCTTCCCTATCCTTGTCTTGGCGTCTGGGTTATTTCTCTAAGTTGAGTTACTTTTTAAATTGGATAAAAAGATCATGGAGTCTTGAGAGTTCTAGATAACAACTTATTTAAGCCAACACCTATCATATTGGGCCTTCCTCTCAAATAACACTATCTCTTTGAAGGCTCTCAAGTGCACAGTTTCAACAAAATGGTTGTGGACTCTCAGGTTCTGAGTGTTTACAAAGTCAAGAGGCCCTTAGATGACCTGCGTTTCCAATGACCTTTGTAGAATCTCAAAATACCACTTGTCCGTGACTTTCACTGATTTAAGAACTGGCTTTTATTCAAGCTCTTGGGTGTGAGTCAGCCTAGAGGCAAAGGTTCAGTGACTTGAGGGTCCAACTCTTGTTCTCTTAACAATAAGTTCAAGATCATGTAGTCTGCCCTTTGTGGCACTACCCAGTCTGGCCGGACCCACTTCTCAGCCTGAAGTTCCACTGTTATTTCTGAGCCTCTACTTTAGTCAGACACATCTACCTGTACCTTGAGCATTTTTACCCTTGCTTTATCCCACTGTTTCTGGTTGAAACAACTTCCTGGTTTCGGCCTTCTTAGAATCATGCTTGCTTTCCTGAGTTCTATCCTTCTCGATACCACCACCTACAGTCTTATCCTCATGTAGCTATAACATGATAATCACTTGCTTATTGCTTTTCCAAGACTGTCTTGTGCTTTTGGTCATCTTCTCAAATGTACTGCTCATCTTGCCAACCAGAGTAGAGGCTGCCTAGAGACCAAAATGACTGTTTTATTTCTCATGGCACTTATCATTTGTTCATTTTGAGTGCCCAATGAATAGTTGTTTGATGGTTGAGGAGGAAGCTATTTTTGCTACTACCTATTTATTGAATCATTCCCAAAGCCGATCTGCATTTATCCCTATTATAAAACCATAGCTATTGGGGCACCTGGGTGGCTCACTCGTTAAGTGTCTGCCTTCAGCTCAAGTCATGATCCCAGGATGGGATCGAGCCCCACATCAGGCTCCCTGCTCAGCGGGAAGCCTGGTTCTCCCTCTCCCACTCCCCCTACTTGTGTTCCTGCTCTTGTCTCTCTCTCTGTCAAATAAATAAACAAAATCTTTATATTTGCAAATGACATACCAGATAAAGGGCTAGTATCCAAAATCTGTAAAGAACTTATCAAACTCAACACCCAAAGAACAAATAATCTAGTCAAGAAATGGGCAGAAGACGCGAACAGACATTTCTGCAAAGAAGACATCCAAATGGCCAACAGACACATGAAAAAGTGCTCAACATCACTTGGCATCAGGGAAATCCAAATCAAAACCTCAATGAGATACCACCTCACACCAGTCAGAATGGCTAAAATTAACAAGTCAGGAAATGACAGATGTTGGCGAGGGTGCAAAGAAAGGGGAACCCTCCTACACTGTTGGTGGGAATGCAAGCTGGTGCAGCCACTCTGGAAAACAGTATGGACGTTCCTCAAACAGTTGAAAACAGAGCTACCATACGATCCAGCAATTGCACTACTGGGTATTTACCCCAAAGATATAAATGTAGTGATCCGAAGGGGTACATGCACCCCAATGTTTATAGCAGCAATGTCCACAATAGCCAAACTATGGAAAGAGCCTAGATATCCATCAACAGATGAATGGATAAAGAAGATGTGGGGTGTGTGTGTACACACACACACACACACAAACACACACACACACACACACACACACACTGGAATATTATGCAGCCATCAAAAAATGAAATCTTGCCATTTGCAACACCATGGATGGAACTAGAAGGTATTATGCTAAGTGAAATAAGTCAATCCGAGAAAGACAAGTATCATATGATCTCATTGATAGGAGGAATTTGAGAAACAAGACAGAGGATCATAGGGGAAGGGAGGAAAAGATGAAACAAGATGAAACCAGAGAGGGAGACAAACCATAAGAGACTCTTAATCTCAGGAAACAAACTAAGGGGTGCTGGAGTGGAGGGGGGTGGGAGGTATGGGGTGGCTGGTGATGGACATTGGGGAGGGTATGTGCTATGGTGAGTTCTGTGAATTGTGTAAGACTGATGAATCACAGACCTGTACCCCATAAACAAATAATACTTTATGTGCTAATAAAAAAAACCATAGATATTAATGATACTTATATGAAAAGGAAAATCACCTGTAGAGCTAACACTACTACACACACAATCATTGGAATAAGGGAAGTATAAAAAAAAATTTGGAATAAGGAGGAACTCCTGTCTCCCCCAACTTGGATGTCTCCGCTGGAGCTAGATAGAACATTAGCATATACAAAGGCATGTATGTGGAAATGAGTATTGAATGGTCTTGTGTTTTTGTCTCCCCAGATGTGGTCGCTCACCTGTCTACCGCTCCCGTGAAATGGCAGCTCGTGCCTTGGTTCCATTTGTTATGGTAGATGAAATCCCCACTACCATCCGAACTCTGTTGGCCAAACTCCCCAACTGCACTGACCAGTGTTTCCGGCAAAACCATATTCATGGGACACTTCTCCAGGTAAATACAGTTACTTTGTGTCAAGTAGCACAGGATAAACTTTGGTTTCTCATGTACTGTTGGCAGGTAAAGATTCGATACACAAGCTTTTAACTTTATCTGTGGAACTTTTTTCTATTGCTGAAAGAAAAGGTATTTCCTAGGTGTGCTTTTTTTCATTACAAACATAAGTACAGCATCACACTGTGATTCAGTCAGATCGTCTTTTGCATTAAATCCTGTTTCAGGGGCGCCTGGGTGGCTCAGATGGTTGAGCATCTGCCTTCGGCTCAGGTCATGATCCCGGGGTCCTGAGATCAAGCCCCGCATCGGGCTCCCTGCTTGGCGGGGAGCCTGCTTCTCCCTCTCCCTCTACTGTTCCCCTGCTTGTGCTCTCTCACTCTCTCTGTCAAATAAATAAATAAAATCTTAAAAAAAAAAAAAACCTGTTTCATACAGCATTTGGACTTACCTCTCTGAACCATTTAGAGTTTTGTCTTTTCCATCAAGTACCTGCAGAATATTCTGGGCCACTCTCTGTTCAGGGTGAAGTTGTGAGCTTTCCTTGAAAAAGAGGTTAGCACCAGAAACAGAAGGAGAGTTATACACATCAGGGAGAGTTTGCCTGGCAGTGTTAACACCATAGTACGTGGAAAGGTCAATCCCTACTTTCCTGTTTTCTCTGTGCTACAAAAGAGACTTTTTATTTTTAATAAATATACAAATATGCTTATCGCCTTTTTTTAAAAAATATTATTTATTTATTTATTTGACAGAGAGAGACACAGTGAGAGAGGGAACACAAGCAGGGGGAGTGGGAGAGGGAGAAGCAGGCTTCCCGCCGAACCGGGAGCCCGATGCGGGGCTCGATCCCAGGACCCTGGGACCATGACCTGAGCCGAAGGCAGACACTTAATGACTGAGCCACCCAGGTGCCCCATACTTATCACTCTTAACTTACCATTTCCTCTAGAAAGGACTGAAGTACAACAAATGAATGAGAAATAGACTTCTTACTGAAAATGTCTTTTTTAAGCCCTACCTATCACCTAGGGAGCAGATGGTAATGGTGAGATCTGTTCATGTGTCTGCTGGGGTCACTCATGGTGGGTTGGTATTGCAGGGGGATTTAAATATCAAATCATGTGTCTGGTTTGTGAGCAGAGTTGAGAGGTGACCTTGCGATCTCAAGATATGATAAGCTTGAGGTCTACCCTGCCAACACGAGAGGCCGCATATAGAGTGGTTAATGGCATGGGACTCTGGAGCCAGACGGGCTCAGTGTCCATCTCAGATCTACTACTCAATACCTGCACTTCTCTCTCTTCATTGTTTTTATTAAGTTTTTTATTTTAATTAGTATACAGTTAACATACAGTGTTGTGTCTTCATTTTTGAAATAAGGATAATAGTAATGTATACCTGTTAGGGGTTATGTGAAGATTAAATGAATTAATGCATATCAAGTGCTTAGAATAGTATTGGGTACATAATATGATATATAGTTACTATTGTTATTATTATCATAGCTTTGGTGAGCTTGTACCATAATGAACACTAGTATTTTTAGTAACTGATTCCCCCTAGGTGAGAATGAATGCAAGAGAGACCTATCTTCTTGCCTTCCTTCCTTGGTCCCTGTATATATATTCAGCAAGTAGTTATGGAATGCCTCCTACCTACTACTGTGTCCTTCACAACAGTTGTTGCATTGAAGGAGTTAAAGCCCAAAAAAAAGGCCTAACGTGGGCAATCACAGTGTAGCGCGCTACGTGCTAGGGGAGCCCACAGCAGGCCACCTGACTGGTTTTGGGCAAGTCACGGAAAGCTTCCCAGAGAAAACGACACCTAAGTAAAGAGCAGAAAAAGTTAGCCAAGCGGAGGAGGGAGGGGGAGTCTCCCACGCAGAGAGAACAGCACAAAGCAAGGCTCAGGGTGGGTGAGAAGTTGCCCCGTCTAGGAGCTACAAGCTTCGGTGGGACCAAGCTCCGGGTTGGCTGGTCTCACACTGGTCTTAGGACCTCTTTAACCTCAGGGAAGTTACTGAGAATTCCAAAGAGCTTTTGTCTATCGATATTTAATTAGACTCTGAAACAGAGAATCTTAAAACACAAGAACCCACAAGCACACATTCCATTAGTCATGATCAGAGTGATGACACCCCCACACACCTTGTAGCTGACTCCACTGTGCGCTGCACAAGAAGGAGAGTAAAGGAGGGGAGGCGTGGCCTAGTGGCATTTTGAAAATAGTTTGATCTTGCAGATCTCCTGAAAAGAGTGTGGCGACCCCCAAGGGCCCCAGAGCAGACCTCTGGTCTGTGTTGTATACACTGCAGGTCTTTTGTGGTCTCTTCAGTGGAGGCCCTCAAGCGCTTGTCTCCCTTGGTCCTCACTATATCTCGGTGATGAAGACAGGACTGGAGGGTATTATCTGGGTTTTAAATGTGGGACCCTGAGGCACGTACAAGTTAGATGGTTTGATTCTGTCAGACTCTGCTGCTTTGAAGGGAAGGAGCCGGCAATGATGAGTAACAGAGAACAGGCTTTTCAAAGATGTCTAGATTCTGCAGCTGAGTTAGAAGGGGGGCTCAGATCGTCAGGCGAGAGGGGGGATCAGCCATCAGATTTTCTCTCCTGCAGATCCACTCTTGGCTAATTTTGTCAGAAGTGGTGAGGCTGGATTTGCTTCTTTGGCTGTCTCGCCACTTGTACAAATGGGCCTCCCAGCCTCGTTTCCCGCACACAGCACTGACAGGTCTGGCTTGTGTCTCACCGCTCTGCCCAGCAACAAAGCATGGTCTTCTGCTCTGTCTCTGGGCTGCCTCTGATATCTCAAATTTACTTTTCCTGTGACCTAAAGTGTGAAACTCCGTGGAAAGGGAAAAAGGCCGTAACTCCAGGTTGGTTGTGGCTGTAGCCTTTGTTCCTGAGTGTTGGGAGATGAAGGACTTGTTGAAAACGAAACAGAACAGTATGGGTGTTGGGTGTTGGGTATCGTGTTCATGTTTGTCAAACGGATTCCTGTCTTTACCAAGATTGGTTTGTACCCTGGGTGAAAAAAAGGAAGTCAAAGGCATGTGAATATCTTTCCGTCGTGTCCATTTGGGTGTCTCATCTGTGTTGCAATAGCTCGGTTTCACTCTCTTGTTCTTTGTGAGGAAAGCATAAGGGGTTAAGATGGGGAGGGCTCTTTTTCTCTTTCCTTTCTACAGCTTTTGGATTCCTTCTCCACATAAAGCTACCTTTGAAACCTGTAAGAGGCCTGCACCTGGAAAAGAGGTGTTGGGATTGAAAGGCATGAGAATCTCCATGGGACTTTCAGAGCCAGCTAAGTAAATATAAAATTGCTATTTTTTTTTTCAAAAGGAGGAAATCATTTTGTAATCAGAAAACAAATTCTTTCACAGAATGTTTTCTTGAATTACACATTTTGGCTTCTTTGAAAAATATTTACATAAATATATCAAACCTCAGAGTATTTCTATAAGATACCTTGGAAATGAGAAATATGCTGATCTCTGAATTTTCTGGAATGATGGAAGAAAGACTCAAATTATAGGACATGCATAAAAAGAAAACATGTGGGAATCAGTTTCTTAATCATTTTAAAAACCAGAGGTTTCTAATTGCAATGTTGAGACGGATGGAAGTAACGCACATGAGAAAAGGTGAGATTATGCAGCCGGTTCGTAAGAGCCAGTGGTAAATGACATTAAATCTCCATAAAGGCTAGATAAGAGCCATGGACATTACCTCATTTGGGAACAACACCGGCTGGCAGGGCTACCCGGTCTTTTAAGTAGAATTAACCGTCTGTTTTTGTTGCCAAAATTCTTCATGTTGGGGCCTTAACATTATTACTAGGTTACTTATCACTCCCGAGAAATCATATTGGCATTCAAAATGTTTTCTTGTGTTGAGGAAGCGTTTTGGCCAACAATTACGAGGCAAGATTTATTCTGATTCTTGGGTACTTAACTCACATTTTGGTGTTTCATAAGGAAATATATACCATTTGAAATAGAAACTTGAATTTTGAGTTTTTTTCATTTTCTGTTTTGGTTCTTTTTCTCATGATACAAACGTATGAGGGGTGGCCCCTGCTCTTTCTTTAAACTCTCTTATGTGAGTAAAGTGGACAGTTGAGGTAATTCAGCTTCTGCTGAAACAGGAAAACCCACTTTTGCATTGATGTGAACATTCTAGGCAAAGGTGTTCTTTTTTCACCAGTTAATCCACATAATACCCACAGTTCTAAACATCCCTTTGCTGGTATTAAATTTTCTCAGTTTTTGCTAGCATAATCTGTTGAACACCTTGTCTAATTCTCTTATTCCTCCACCCCTTCCCCTACCACCCAAATTTGGAGCCTTGATTTTTGCACTTGGAGAATTCTGAGTCACTTTTCTGGCTGTGGAGCTGAGCAGCAGTATTGCACACTTGGGTTGACATGAAATATTAGCTGGGGATGGACTTTAGGCAGCCTAGGCCCATGCATTTGGTGAGTTTGCCATAAAAGAATTAAAATGAACGTTTTTGAGCGCCTCCTGCAGTATGTAAATCACATGTGATTTCATTCATACTCTCAGCAATCCTTCCAGGTGTTTAGAAAGCACCTCCTGATAGTTGATGTGAATAACAACTTTTTCTGCCTAGGGAAACCAAACAAAGAATCCATCTTTGCTCTTTTTAATCTCTTGTTCCTCGGTTCTGAAAATCTGATTTGATGCTAGAAACAAAGTTAATCCATCGGCGTTATAAAGACAGAGGGACAGAGGAAGTCAGTGAAGCCCTAAGAGGCTACAACTAGTAAAAGACTTTGTTTTTTTTAGTATAGTTGACGCACCATGTCCCATTAGTCCCAGGTGTACAACATAGTGATTTACCAACTCTACACATGATGCTGTGCTCACCACAGGTGTAGCTCCCGTCTGTCCCATTACATCGCTATTACGGTATCATTGACTATATTCCCTACGCTGGGGCTTTCATCCCCGTGACTTATTCATTCCATAACTG